ACTCAACAGACTTATTACCCTATAATTTTTACACTCTCTTTTGTCCTTGTTACCTTCATACAAAGGAACTATGCATGCTCTCTGCCAGTCCCTAGGTGCCTTATCCTCTTCCATACATTTATTATATAAAAACAATAATCACTAGAAAACTATATCCTCACCTTCTTTTAACATTTCTATCTTTATCCCATCAATCCCAGCTGCTTTACTCTTTTTCATTCTACTCTCTCTCCCACGCACTTTCCCCACACTCACAACTGGTTCTTTCTCACTCCTACAGATGTTATTCCTCCTTGCCCTATACACGAAATCACAGCTTCCCTATCTTCATCACCATTTAACAATTCCTCAAAATATTCCCTCCATCTTCCTGATACCTCTAAGTCTACGTTTAATAACTCTTCTCTCCTATTTTTAATTAACAAATTCATTCGTTACTTTGGCTTTCTCAGCTTATTAATTTCACTCCAAAATTTTTCTTATTCTCAACAAAATTTGTTGGTAACACCTCACCCATTCTCTCATTTGCTTTCTTTTTACATTGCTTCACCACTCTCTTAACCTCTCTTTTTCTCTATATATACTGGTCCCTCCTTGCATCATTTTTACTTTGTAAGAACCTCTCATATGCTAAGAACATAAGAAATAAGGAACACTACAGCACGCCTACTGGCCCATGTGGGGCAGGTCCGTGTCAACCCCTAGCATAGACCAATGGCCCACCCAGTCAGGTCACCTCCACTTAAGGAAAGAGCGCTGCTTCTGATCCAGTAGAACCAGCTAGTCAGGTTCAACTCACACCCACCCACACCCGCTCATGTATTTATCTAACCTATTTTTAAAACTACACAACGTTTTAGCTTCTATGACGGTACTCGGGAGTCTGTTCCACTCATCCACAACTCTATTACGAAACCAATGCTTACCTATACCCTTCCTGAATCTGAATTTTTCAAGCTTAAAACCATTGCTGCGAGTCCTGTCTAGGCTAGATATTTTTAGCACACTATTTACATCTGCTTTATTTATTCCCCTTTTTCATTTATACACCCCAATCGTATCCCACTAATTCTACGCCTTCCTAGAGAGTGCAGATTCAGGGCCCTCAGCCTATCCTCACAGGGAAGATTTCTGATACATAGGATCAACTTTGTCATCCTCCTCTGTACATTTGCCAATGCATTTATATCCATTTTGTAATACGGTGACCAGAACTGTGCAGCATAATCTAAATGAGGCCTAACCAAGGATACAGAGTTGAAGAACAACCTGAGGATTTCTATTATTTATGCTTCTTGATTTGAAGCCAAGGATTCTGTTAGCTTTATTGCGAATGTTTATGCACTGTTGTCTTGGTTTCAGGTTACTGCTAACCAGTACTCCTAAATCCTTTTCTCAATCAATAATATTAAAGTCTACATTATTTAATCTATGTGTGGCATTGTTATTGTCCTTTCCAACATTTAGAACTTTGCATTTGTCTATATTAAACTTCATCTGTCACTTCTCCGATCATTGCATCAGTCTATTCAAATCATCCTGGAGTGCTCTAATGTCCTCATTAGAATGAATTGGACGACCTATTTTGCTGTCATCAGCAAATTTATTTATGTCGCTATTTATTCCCTCATCTCTGTCGTTTACGTAAATTGTGAACAACAAGTGGCCCAACATTGACCCCTGTGGAACACCGCTTGTGACGTACCCCCATTCTGATTTCTCCCAATTCATGTAAACTCTCTGCTGCCTGTTTATCAACCATGCCTCTACCCAGGAAAAAATTTCTCCTCTTATACCGTGGGCCTTAAGTTTCCTTAATAGCCTATGATGTGGAACTCTGTCGAAAGCCTTACTGAAGTCCATATACACAATATCATATTCATTACCATGATCTACCTCCTCAAACACCTTAGTGAAGAAAGTTAGTAAATTCGTAAGACAGGAACGCCCCTTTGTAAAACCATGTTGAGATTCATTAATCAATCTGTGCCTGTCAAGATGGCTACGAATTGCTTCGGCAATTATTGATTCCATAAAATTTCCCACTATGGAAGTAAGGCTCATCGGTCTATAGTTCGAAGCCAAGGACCTGTCACCTGCCTTGTAAATAGGTATTACATTTACCATTTTCTACTTATTTGGCACTATGCCAGTTTGTAGTGATATGTTGAATAGATTAGCCAAAGGTTTGCTAAGTTCCTCTTCATATTCCTTTAAAACTCTTGCAAACAGTTCATCAGGGCTTTGGGATTTGTTAGGTTTTAATTTCTCTATTTGTCTGAGGACCATGTCACTAGTTACTCCAATCGTGCATAGTTTATTACCGTCCTGTTCTCCATAATTTATTATTTCTGGAATTTCGCTTGTATCTTCCTGAGTAAAAACTGAGATGAAGTCAGTATTGAAAATTTCACACTTAATTAACCTTATCACTGTCAGTGTTCTGACCTAAGTTACTCTTAAGTGGGCCTATCTTGTCCCTAATCTTACTTCTGTATACTTGAAAGAACCCTTTTGGGTTAATCATCGAGTCCCTTGCGACCTTTGCCTCATAATCCCTTTTAGCTGTTCTTATTCCTTTTTTTTATTTCTATCTTTAACTGAATATATTGATTTCTTAACTGCCCATCCTCTCTTTTAATATGCCTATATATGCCTCTTTTATGACCAATGAGATGCTTTAACCTATTGTTCATCCATTTTGGGTCATTTTTGTAAGATCTAATTTCCCTACTCGGAACAAAAGTTTCCTGGGCAGCTAGAACTATGCTCTGAAAAATGTCATATTGGCAACCAAGATCACCAAGACTTGATTGCAGTTATCTGGGTAATTACATGATATATTGAAACTAAGTGATTTGTGATAACTTCCCCCAAGCTCATCATTAACCTCAAGATTATTAATTAGTGATTCTTTGTTGGCAAGAACCAAGTCAAGCAGGTGAAGAACCAAGTCAAGCAGGTAACTTTTTCTAACTTTTCTAACTTTTTCTCACTACTCTCTTTACATCATCGTTCCACCAATTGGTCTTCTTCCCTCCCACACCCGCTTACCTGTAACCACAACCTCCTGCTGAACACTTTAACACTATATTCTTCAACTTACCAAATACATCTTCTCACTAGCCCATCTGTCCTCCAACAGTTGTTTATATCTTACCCTAACTGCCTCCTCATGTAGTTTCAAAACCTTCACTTCTCTCTTCCTGTTTATATTTTCCTTGTATCCCATCTACCCTTTACTCTCACTGTAGCTACAACTAAAAAGCGATCAGATATATTTTTGGCCCCTCTGTAAACATGTACATCCTAAAGTCTACCCAGCAGTCTTTTTTCTACTAATACGTAGTCCAACAAACTTCTGTCAATATGCCCTATATTGTATATTTATTTATTATCTTGTATACTTATTTATCCTCTTCTTTTAAAATATGTATTACCTATAACCAAACCCTTTCTATACAAAGTTCAGTCAAATGTTCGCATTATCATTTACATCTAGCACCCAAAACTTACCTACCACACCCTCTCTAAACGTTTCTCCTACTTTAGCATTTAGGTCCCTTACCACAATTACTCTCTCACATGGCTCAAAAGTTCCTACACACTCGCTTGACATCTCCCAAAATCTATCCTCTCTTCTTCAGGTGCATACACACTTATTATGACCCACTTTTCACATCCACCCTTATTGTAATCCATGTAATCCTCATCTCTCTCCATAACTGATCCTTCAATATTATTGCTACCCTTTCCTCAGCTCTAACTCTCTCAGATACTCCTGACTTAATCCCATTTATTTCTCCCACTGAACCTCCCCTACCCCGTTCAGCATTGTTTTGCTGAGGGCCAGGTCATCCAACTTCTTTTCATTCATAACATTAGCAATCATTTTTCTTATCATCCGCACTACATCTATGCGCATTCGAACATCCCAATTTTATAAAGTTTTCCTTTTCCTTGTTTTTAGTATTTTATACAGGAGAAGGAGTTACTAGCCCATTGCTGCCGGCATCTAGTCGCCTACTACGACACACACAGCTTACGGAGGAATTCTGTTCCACTTCCCCATGGATATAAGCAGAAATAAACAAGAACAAGAACTAGGAAGAAAAAAGAAAACCCAGAGGGTTTAGTATGTATATGCTTGTACATGCTTGTGTAGTGTGACCTAAGTGTAAGTAGAAGTAGCAAGACTTACCTGAAATCTTGAATGTTTATGAGGCAGAATAAGACACCAGCAATCCTACCATCATGCAAAACAATTACAGGCTTGTGTTTCACACTCATTTGGTAGAACGGTAGTACCTCCCTGGGTGGTTGTTGTCTACCAACCTACTACCTACAACAGTAACGATTAATGAAATAGGACAGTAAAATTTGGTTAATAGAGGTTTAAAGCCTATCGACTGCGGGTCATGTAACCTGTTCATTGTCAGTCAAGAATACTTTATTCCCTAAAATAGGAATTAAGGTAAATTTCCAGCAAATATAATCTGAAAAACATATACTTCTCGGTGTATGTATCCGATGTGCTGAAATTTTTTGACGAACTGTATTCAGTTTTGTATTAATTCATTACAGACATACGTAAAAAGTAAAATGCCTAGAAAGGACTTTTCCATGATCTTAGTCTTGAAAACCTTGAAAAAAAAAATCGGATTCTTCTTAAATTCCATTATAACTTCATCCATCGTACTCTGCTGACCGAAAATTGGAGCCTTAACTTCATTAATGTTGACATTCTTTCCTGATATACTGACTGATTTGATTCATGATCGTTTGTCGTTTTCCTGTTTTACTTCGACCTTCTGATTATTATTTGTTAGGATGGTATTGCTCTTCACAACCCAGTAAAATAAATTAGCGCTACTTTATTATACTGAACTTATGTTGCAATAGTAACTTCCGTCTAAATCCCGTATTATGCTGTGAGACGAGCGAACGTACCTGCTTGGCTGATGACATCTACTAAGCAGCAGAATCTTATCTCTTATCAGTTACGGGTAACGGTCGATGTCTGTGTTGTCGCTTGTGGCTCACATTACAGCTTCTCCCTCCTCTGTCTTTGAGCTCTTACTGCTCCAGGGTAATGGGCTGAAGCCAGCATCCCTCCGTGAACAACACTTCAAAAACACACATTTGTTGTCATATCTCCACGACAGTAGTGTGCAACTCTTGCTGCTGTGGTTAAGTGAAAGACACCTTGCCAGGTCTATCACAGCCATTATAAACCTGAACATTCTATACATCTTACATATTAAAAGGCGACAAATGTAAATTGCTCTTGTTACACAAACATTAAGGGTTTGTGTGGGTAATGATGGGCATTGCGGTGCGTGGAGTGAGTGCAGTAGTAGCAGCTGTCAGCATACTACTGGCGGCAGCCTACAACCTAGACCTAGAGAACCCTATGCTACTGCAGCCTGCAGACCAGTCAGGCATACACTTCGGCTTTTCCCTTGCTCATCTCTACGACGGCACACACAGACGGTAAGCAGAAGCCTTCGTAGAAGGCAATGAATTTTTTTTTTCAAGGTACTGATTACGTATCATCTATGTTTTGGGTCTGTGGGCGTAGCTGTATCTAACTGTTTGGTATTTCTGGAAGCAAAGATAGAGGAGAGGTATCGACTCATCGTGGATAAACTGTGAATTTATGTAAGCTAAATGAGCGACATAGAGATATTTATTAATTCAAGAGGGAGAAGGGAGAGGAATATGAGGGAGGAAGAATAGGAGGGGAGAGGTATACGGTACGGTAATCGAGGGATGGGAAAGACAAGAGAGAAATAGAGTTTTAAATAAATGGGTGGGACTTGAGAGATTTTGAATAATAATAATAATAATAATAATAATAATAATAATTAATAATAATAGTAATAATAATAATTAAAAATAATAACAATAGGTAGTAGGTTGGTAGACAGCAACCACCCAGGGAAGTACTACCGTCCTGCCAGATGACTGTGAAACAGAAACCTGTAACTGTTTTGCATGATGGTAGGATTGCTGGTGTCTTTTTCTGTCTCATAAACACGCTAGATAACAGGGATAACTTGCTACTCCTACTGACACTTTGGTCACACTTCACAGACACGTACATGCATATATATACATACATAAAATTAAGTTTTTCTTCTTTTTTCTAAATAGCTCTCGTTCTTCATTATTTCCATTCTCCTGTATACATTACTAAAAAACAGAAGAAAAACTTTATAAAACTGGGATGCTTGAATGTGCGTGGATGTAGGGCGGATGACAAGAAAGAGATGATTGCTGTTATTATGTATGGAAAGAAGTTGGATGTCCTGGCCCTAACGAAACAAAGCTGAAGGGGGTAGGGGAGTTTCAGTGGGGAGAAATAAATGGGATTAAATCAAGATAATCTGAGAGAGTTAGAGCTAAGAAAGGGGTAGCAATAATGTTGAAGGATCAGCTATGGAAGGAGAAGAGGAACATAATTGTGTAAATTCAAGGATTATGTGGATTAAAATAAGTGTTGGATGCGGAAAGTGGGTCATAATAAGCTTGTATGCACCTGGAGAAGAAAGGAATGTAGAGGAGGAGAGAGAGAGGGATTTTGGGAGATGTTAAGTGAATGTATGGGAACCTTTGAACCAAGTGAGAGAGTAATTGTGAAAGGGAACTTAAATCCTAAAGTAGGAGAAACATTTGGAGAGGGTGTGGTAGGTAAATTTGGGGTGCCAGGTGTAAATGATAATGGGAGCCCTTAGATTGAACTTTGTGTGGAAAGGGGTTTAGTTATAGGTAATACATATTTTAAGAAAAAGAGGATTAATAAGTATACAATATATGACGTAGGTAGTAATGACAGTAGTTTGCTGGACTATGTATTGGTAGATAAAAGACTTCTGAGTAGACTTCATGATCTACATGTTTATAGTGGGGCCACAGATATATCAGATCACTTTTTAGTTGTAACTACAGTGAGAGTAAAATGTAGATGGGATACAAGGAGAATACAAGCAGAGAGAGTAAGAGAGAGGTAAAGGTTTATAAACTAAAAGAGGAGGCAGTTAGAGTAAGATTTAAACAATTATCGGAGGATAGATGTGCTTGTGAGAGTATAGGCAATGGGGTCGAAGATGTATGGGGTAGGTTTAAAAACGTAGTGTTAGAGTGTAGAGCAGAAGTTTGTGGTTACAGGAAAGTGGCTGTGGGAAGAAAGAAGAGCGATTGGTGGAATGATGATGTAAAGAGAGTAGTAAGGGAGTAAAGTTAGCATATGAGAGGTTTTTACATAGAAGTGATGCAAGGAGGGAAGAGTATATGGAGAGAAAAAGACATGTTAAGAGAGTGGTGAAGCAATGTAAAAAGAGAGCAAATGAGAGAGGGGATGAGATGTTATCAACAAATTTTGTTGAAAATAAGAAAAAGTTTTGGGGTGAGATTAACAGGTTGAGTGAGCCTAGGAAACAAATGGATTTGTCAGTTAAAAATAGGAGAGGAGAGTTATTAAATAGAGAGTTAGAGGTATTGGGAAGATGGGGAGGAATATTTTGAGGAATTGTTAAATGCTGATGAAGATAAGGAAGCTGTGATTTCGTGTATAGGACAAGGAGGAATAACATCTTGTAGCCAGTTGTGAGTGTGGGTGAAGTTCGAGAGGCAGTGGGTAGAATGAAAGGGGGTACGGCAGCTGGGATTGATGGGACAAAGGTAGAAATGTTAAAAGCAAGTTGGGAAGTAGTTTTGGAGTGGCTGGTACTATTATTTAACAAATGTATGGAAGAGGGTAAGGTACCTAGGGATTGGCAGAGAACATGCATAGTTCCTTTGTATAAAGACAAAGGGGACAAAAGAGAGTGCAAATATTATAGTGGGATAAGTCTGTTGAGTATACCTGGTAAAGTATATGGTAGAGTTATTATTGAAAGAATTAAGAGTAAGACGGAGAGTAGGATAGCAGATGAACAAGGAGGCTTTAGGAAAGGTAGGGAGTGTGTAGACCAAGTGTTTACAGTGAAACATATAGGTGAACAGTATTTAGATAAGACTAAAGAGGTTTCCGTGACATTTATGGATTTGGAAAAGGCGAATGACAGGGTGAATAAGGGGGTAATGTTGCAGATGTTTCAGGTGTATGGTATAGGAGGTAGGTTACTTAAAGCAGTGAAGAGTTTTTACGAGGATAGTGAGGCTCAGGTTAGAGTATGTAGGAAAGAGGGAGATTATTTCCCAGTAAAAGTAGGCCTTAAACAAAGATGTGTGATGTCACCGTGGTTGTTTAATATATTTATAGATGGGGTTGTAAGAGAAGTGAATGTGAGGGTCTTAGTAAAAGGTGTGGAGGTAAAAGATAAATAATCTAACACAAAGTGGGAGTTATCAGAGATGCTTTATGCTGATGACACTGTGCTCTTGGGAGATTCTAAAGAGAAGTTGCAGAGGCTGATGGATGAATTTGGTAGGGTATGTAAAAGAAGAAAGTTAAAAGTGAATGTAGGAGAGAGTAAGGTTATGAGGATATAAAAAAGATTAGGTGACGAAAGATTGGATATCAGATTGGAGAGAGAGAGTATGGAGGAGGTGAATGCATTCAGATATTTGCGAGTGGACCTGTCAGTAGATGGCTCTATGAAAGATGAGGTGAATCTTAGGACTGATGAGGGGATAAGGGTGAGCGGTGCACTTAAGAGTCTGTGGAGACAAAGAACTTTGTCCTTGGAAGCAAAGAAGGGAATGTAAAGTAAAAGGACACAAGTGCAACTAATGTGACATTTATTGTGGCAACGTTTCGCTCTCCAGGAGCTTTATCAAGCCATTACAAACAATACATGGACATTGGACTTGTCATTGGACTCTTCTTCTAGTGTAAACTGGATCGCCGGAAATTGTAACTCAGTGAATGTTTGGTGAATGTAAGTACATTCCTCGTCAAGAAACTCAGGACTACAAATTCGGTATGCTCTTAGGAAAAACCCGATGATGATGCCTCTTTTGGTCTTGGTATCTTGACTGGAATAGAAGTGTGTGAGATCATTTTTATTGGTGGGTTTCCGATAAACTTGAAATCTTAGGTTGTTGTCTACTTTGTGAATGAGGACGTCGAGGAAAGGTAGCTTGTCATTGGACTCTTCTTCTAGTGTAAACTGAATCGCTGGTTCAACTGCGTTTGAGCCTTGCTGAAGATCCGTACATCAAAACGTTTGGAGTTATTACGAGGACATCGTCCACGTAACGTAACCAAGTGACGCTTGAAGGGATGATGTTGGCGAAGTGTTCGGACTCTAGGTGTTCCATGTATAAGTTGGCTAGGACGGCACTTATTGGGGACCCCATTCCCATGCCGTAGGTTTGTTTGTAGAGCTTGTTATTGAAGGAAAAACAGTTGAAGTTAACACAGAGTTCAATCAAGTCAACAAAATCTCCGGGAGGTAAAGGAAGATTAAGGTCCTGGTTGACTTTACGTCGTAGAACCTCGATGGCTTTTTTGGTAGGTACTTTTGTGAAGAGGGAAGTCACATCCAAACTGCTTAGTTTCTTGTTACGGATGGAGAGGGGTCCCCAATAAGTGCCGTCCTAGCCAACTTATACATGGAACACCTAGAGTCCGAACACTTCGCCAACATCATCCCTTCAAGCGTCACTTGGTTACGTTACGTGGACGATGTCCTCGTAATAACTCCAAAACGTTTTGATGTACGGGATCTTCAGGCAAGGCTCAACGCAGTTGAACCAGCGATTCAGTTTACACTAGAAGAAGAGTCCAATGACAAGCTACCTTTCCTCGACGTCCTCATTCACAAAGTAGACAACAACCTAAGATTACAAGTTTATCGGAAACCCACCAATAAAAATGATCTCACACACTTCTATTCCAGTCAAGATACCAAGACCAAAAGAGGCATCATCATCGGGTTTTTCCTAAGAGCATACCGAATTTGTAGTCCTGAGTTTCTTGACGAGGAATGTACTTACATTCACCAAACATTCACTGAGTTACAATTTCCTTCTTTTTTCATCAAAGACTGCAAGAAAAGAGCTCTTCAGATCATCAATTCTCCACGCATCAACACCGCTCCCAACAAAGTTATAATTCTTCCCGACAGCCAGGTTGCACTAAACGTCTCAAAAGTACTTTCACAAGCTAACACCAGAGTCGCCATCGCTTCTACCACTTCAATAAAGGATCTAACCAGGACAAAACCCAAGCACCACGAACCAGTCAATGCAGGAGTTTACACTATACCCTGTGGAGGCTGTGACAAGATCTACGTAGGTGAAACAGCAAGAAACCTCGACACCCGCCTCAATGAACACATATACGCATGTAGGAACGACAACTTAAACAACGCCTGTGTACAACACCGAAATTCCACCAATCATCTTATGAAATTCAGAGACGCCCAATTAGTGATAAAAGAAACTAATTTCCGCACACGCAAGTGCCTTGAATCAGCACTGATCGCTGTTTCGAATACAATTAAACAAAACAACGGCAGCTTCACCATCTCCGAAGTCTTAGCAAGAATCCTCCTGAAAACAGTAAACCCTGCCATCACATAGTCTCTCCTGTTATACTACACAAAGCACAGAGAGTGAACACTGAAACAAGCTGCCTCATTCCAGTTTATATTTGTCCAACCTATTTTTATGTTACCCAAGTAATAGCTTTTATATCCTTTTACTCATGTACGGATTAATTGCTCTACCATATTGTATTACTTTTGTCACTACCACTATACTACTACTACTACTACTACTACCACTAGTGAACATCGAAATGGTACCTCACTAGTATTCACCTCACTCTGAGCCTTTATATACCCTCTGTGTCCATGTATTGTTTGTAATGGCTTGATAAAGCTCCTGGAGAGCGAAACGTTGCCACAATAAATGTCACATTAGTTGCACTTGTGTCCTTTTACTTTACATATTGTCGGTAATTCTACCAACTTTATTACAAAGAAGGGAATGTTTGAGAGTATAGTTTTATGGGTGTGAAGCATGGGTGATGAATGTTGCAGCGAGGAGAAGGCTGGAGGCAGTGGTGATGTCATGTCTGAGGGCAATGTGTGGTGTGAATATAATGCAGAGAATTCGTAGTTTGGAAGTTAGGAGGAGGTGTGGGATTGTCAAAACTGTTTTCCAGAGGGCTGAGGAAGGGTTGTTGAGGTAGTTCGAACATTTAGAGAGAATGGAACGAAACTAAATGACTTCGAAAGTGTATAAATATGTAGTGGAGGGAAGGCTGGGTAGGGGTCGGACTAGGAAAGGTTGGAGGGAGGGGGTAAATGAGATTTTGTGTGCGAGGGGCTTGGACTTCCAGCAAGCATTCGTGAGCGTATTTTATAGGAGTGAATGGAGACACATAATAATAATAATAATAATAATAATAATAATAATAATAATAATAATAATAATAATAATAAAAATTTAATAATAATAATAATAATAATAATAATAATAATAAGGAATTATAGTAATTGGGTGTACATGCCAAAAGCGCCTTGTATACAGAGCATTATGGGCAGGCTTAAAATGGTTTTTAATACTTGACGTGCTGTTGGAGTGTGAGCAAAGTAACATTTATGCAGGGATTCAGGGAAACCGGCAGGCCGGACTTGAGTCCTGCAGATGGGAAGTACAGTGTCTACACTCTGAAGGACGGGTGTTAATGTTGCAGTTTTATATCTGTAGCGTAAAGCAACCTTCTGGCAAGACTCTGAATGATGATGGAAGTTTTTCTTTTTAGGGCCACCCTGCCTTGGTGGGAATCTGTTAATGTGTTAATAAGGTAAATAATAATAATAATAATATTATTATTATTATTATCATTATTAATCTTTATTTCTCTAGTAAAGAGGAGGAAGTATAGAAAAACAGAGAGGAGAGGGATTCGAGAGATATGAGGAAGGGAGAGTAGAAGGATTGTAGGTACGTACATTAGGGAGAGCAAAGGGCTGGGAGGGAGTTAGTGTTCTCACTCTCGTGGACACAAAGACATCAATGCGGTGAAATACGATCCTTTATTGACTTGAGGTTAAATATAGGATCTCATTACACTTCATCCGTATCTTTCTGCTTCCATTGTTTTCTGTATTTTATATAATTCCTCTTCCCTTCTCGTGTTGCTGCTGCTGCTGGTGCTGCTGCTGGTGCTGCTGCTGGTGCTGCTGCTGGTGCTGCTGCTGGTGGTGCTGCTGCTGCTGCTGCTGCTACTGTTGCAGGCTGCTGGTGGGAGCTCCTCGTGCCAACACCAGCAAGGAGCTGCAGCGACCAGGGGCGCTGTACTCCTGCCACCTCGACACTTCCACTGACAAGTGTGAACAAGTGACAGTGAAGCAAGACAAGTACAGGGAGTGGATCACTGAAGATATACAGGATGACCAAGGCCTTGGCTTCTCACTGGCTTCTGACGGCAAAGAAAATATTGTGGTAGGTATGTTAGGAATTGAGAAGAAATCCATTTTATTTATCCAAAGGTTCAGGGTTACATTTTTTTACTGAAAAATAAAATAAACGATTGGATGGGTTTAGGTCTCTACATAATCCGAGAAAGGTATCCCCGCATCCCCAAATCCCAGCTAAATCTACCTCAATGTACACATAAAGAACAGAGTACGGTATAAGCTTTTAATACAGTTAGATACCAACATGGAAGGTTTGTAACCAATCATAAGACGCATTGAAAGTTATCACATGGAAACTTATACTTAAATTTCTTCAATAAAAAGTGCAAATTGTCTCATACATCAACAAAATCAGTTCCAACCCGCCAGTAAGATATGTAAGTTTTGGAAGCTTAATACTATTCAGAAGAGGAATTTCTAGTTATCTCATGGAAATCAGTATGCCTTTATACACCAGCGCTGAGTTTGAAGTCGTTCAGAAATTGCAGTCTCCAGTTATTGGTCTTGCAGGTTCAAAGCTGATCTTATGAGGCATTCACAAATCATCACATGTAAAGAAGTAGTTAAATTTTCCTATTAACGTAGAAAAATTAAGAAAGTTACACCGACACAACTCAATGCCAGTCTATTTTTTTTTTTTTTGCCTAAGTAAGATATACCAGAAGACAGCTGTGAACAACACTTACTGCACGTAGACCAATTTGTTTATGAAAATTAAAATATACACAAACCAAAATCAAGACGACCCTTCCTTTGACGAGTGCGAGGATGCAGTCTCCATTATGGCTCAAACTCCAAAAACATCAAGTTCATTAACTATAATAATAAATTTAAATATTTGCACCTGCACAGACTGCATCCTAAAATTTTTTATTAATTTTTTTAAGGTGCAGCAGCCACTGAAAACTGAAGTCATTTACAGGTTATTTTTTAATGCCAATCGGAAGAAGCTTTCTCAAATTATAGCATGTAAACCAAATCTGAAAATAGTCTAGAAAATTTGGAAAAAAAATTGTTATCAAAGGGAACCTGCACATGTCAAAATTTGCACGAACCTTTCCCTGGTTACATTACACAAGCTTTGAAAATTTAAAACCCATCAAACAAGATATTCTCAAGTTACAAACGAAAACCTTGGAAGAAAAACATATTGAAGCAATAAATTAAAGTTATCCCTCCAGGGAAACATTTATTTCACCGGTATTACTCTTACTTATTTGTTACTGTGAAGTCTTGGTCAGTGTGGTGTTACTTACTGCACTGTGTTGTGTTGCAGGTGTGTGCACCTCGCTGTGGTGTTACTTATTGCACTGTGTTGTGTGGCAGGTGTGTGCACCTCGCTGTGGTGTTACTTATTGCACTGTGTTGTGTTGCAGGTGTGGGGCACCTCGCTGTGGTGTTACTTATTGCACTATGTTGTGTTTCAGGTGTGTGCACCTCGCTGTGGTGTTACTTATTGCACTGTGTTGTGTTGCAGGTGTGTGCACCTCGCTGTGGTGTTACTTATTGCACTGTGTTGTGTTGCAGGTGTGTGCACCTCGCTGTGGTGTTACTTATTGCACTGTGTTGTGTTGCAGGTGTGTGCACCTCGCTGTGGTGTTACTTATTGCACTATGTTGTGTTTCAGGTGTGTGCACCTCGCTGTGGTGTTACTTATTGCACTGTGTTGTGTTGCAGGTGTGTGCACCTCGCTGTGGTGTTACTTATTGCACTATGTTGTGTTGCAGGTGTGTGCACCTCGCTGTGGTGTTACTTATTGCACTGTGTTTGTGTTGCAGGTGTGTGCACCTCGCTGTGGTGTTACTTATTGCACTGTGTTGTGTTGCAGGTGTGTGCACCTCGCTGGCACGTACACGAACTCTCAGGATCTCGAGCCAAGGACTTACCACTGGGAATATGCTTTGCTAAAAGAGGCAGTGAACCTGAGTTTGAGTCTTTCTCACCACCCTATGCGTTCTCTGCTGGTATGTTACACCATGTGTGTCTTTATATGTTTAGAAATATGCATTTATTTGTATATAAATGTGCATTTATATGCTCAATTTAAACTTCAATGCATAATTTCCTATGTGAGTGTGTATATATACACACACACACACACACACACACACACACACACGCCACACACGCACACACACACCACATACACACACACCACACCACACACACACCCCACACACACACAACACACACACACACACACACCACACACAACACACACACACACACACACACACACACACACACACCCCACCACACACACACACCCCAACACACACACACACACACCACACACACACGCACACACACGAACACACCACAAAAATAACACACACAACACACACACACACACACACACACACACACACACACACACACAACCACAACACACACACACACAACACACACACACACACACGCACACACCAAAACACACACATACACACACACACACACACACACACACGCACACACACGCAACACACAAAACACACAACAACACACACACACACACACACACACACACACACGCACACACACGCACCCCACACAAACAATACACAACACACACACACACACACACACACACCACACACACACACACGCACACACACACAAACACATACACACACACACACACACACACACACACACACACACACTCGCACACACACACACACACACACACACACACACACACACACACACACATACACACGAGCTAAGGGGAATGTCTTACGAAGGTTAAGGGACCTGACGACACTGGAAGACAGGAGAGTTAAGGGAGACATGATAACGACATGCAAAATACTGCGTGGAATAGATAAAGTGGACAGAGACAGGATGTTCCAGACATGGGACACAGAAACAAGGGGTCACAAATAGAAGTTAAAAACTCAGATGAGTCAAAGCGATGTTAGGAAGTATTTATTCAGTCATAGAGGTGTCAAGAAGTGGAATAGTCTAGAAACTGATGTAGTAGAGGCATGACCCATACATAGCTTTAAGACGAGGTATGATAAAGCTCATGGAGTAGGGAGAGAGAGGACCTAGTAAGGATCAGTGAAGAGGCAGCGCCAGGAGCTGAGTATCGCCCCCGGCAACCACAAATAGGTGAGTACACACACACACACACACACACACGTTATTAGGTATCACAGTGGGCGCCTGTGACGAACTGGGTCTCACAGGGGTCAGTCCTAGGACCAGTGTATTTTTGGTATATGTGAATGACGTGACGGAAGCGATATACTAAGAAGTGTCCCTGTTCGCAGATGATGTAAAGTTGATGAGAAGAATTAAATCAGATGAGGCTCAGGCTGGACTACAAAGAGACCTGGACAGGCTGGACACGTGGTCCAGCAATTGCCTTCTCGAATACAACCCCGCCAAATGCAAAGTCATGAAGAATGGGGAAGGGCAAAGAAGACGACAGACAGAGTATAGGCTAGGTGACTAAAGACCGCAAACTTCACTCAGGGAGAAAGATCTTGGGATGAGTCTCCGGAAGCACACATCAACCAGAAAACTGCTGCAGCATATGGGCTCCTGGCAAATCTGAGAATAGCATTCCGATACCTCAGTAAGGAATCGTTCAAAACACTGTACACTGTGTGCGTCAGGCCCATACTAGAGTATGCAGCACCAGTCTGGAACCCACACCTGGTCAAGCACATCAAGAAATTAGAGAAAGTGCAAAGATTTGCCAAAAGGTTAGTTCCGGAGCTCAGGATAATGTCCTACGAAGAAAGGTTGAGGGAAATCGGCCTGACGACACTGGAAGACAGGAGGGTCCGGGGAGACATGATAACGACATATAAAATACTGCGGATAATAGATAAGGTGGACTGAGACGATGTTCCAGAGAGGGGACACAAAAACAAGGGGTCACAATTGGAGGCTGAAGACGCAGATGAGTCAGAGGGATGTTAGGAAATGATTCTTCAGTGATAGAGGTGACAGGAACTGTGGAATAGTCTATCAAGTGATGTAGTGGAGCAGGAACCATACATAGCTTTAAGACGAGGTATGACAAAGCTCAGCAGTTGTAAGAGAAGTAATTGCTTGGGTATTGTCAAGAGGTGTGGGGTTAAAAGATAAATAATCTAACACAAAGTGGGACCTGTCACAGTTGCTATTTGCTGTTGAGACTTTGCTTTTGGAAGATTCTGAAGAGTCGTCGCAGAGATTGGTGGATGAGTTTGTAAGGGTATGTAAAAGAAGAAAATAAAATTTAATATAGGAAAGAGTAAGATGATGAGGCTAACAAAAAAATTAGGTGACGAAAAATAGGATATCAGATTGGAAGGAGAGAGTATGGAGGAGGTGAATGTATTCAGATATTTGGGGGTGGACGTGTCAGCAGATGAGTCTATGAAAGATGAGGTAAATCATAGAATTGATGAGGGATAAAAGGTGAATAGTGCACTGAGGAGTCTGTGGAGACAAATAACTTTGTCCATGGAAGCAAAGAGGGGAATGTATGAGAACATAGTTATACAAGCGCTCTTATATGGGAGTGAAACATGGGTGGTGAATGTTGCAACAAGGAGATGGCTGGAAACTGTGGAGATGTCATGTCTGAGAGCAATGTGTGGTATGGAATATAATGCAGACAATTCGTAGTTTGGAAATTAGGAGGAGGTGCGGGATTACCAAAACTATTATCCTGAGGGGTTGGTGAGGTTGTTTTAACATGTAGAGAGGATGGAAGAAAATAAAATGACTTCTAGAGTGTATAAATCTGTAGCGGAGGGAAGGAGGGGTAGGAGTCGGCCTAGGAAAGGCTGGAGGGAAGGCGTAAAGGAGGCTTTGTTTGCGAGGGGCTTAGACTTCCAGCAAACATGCCTGAGCGTGTTAGATAGGCACAAGTGGAAATAAATGGTTTTTAGGACTAGACGTGCTGTTGGAGTGTGAGCAAGGTAACATTTATGAAGGGATTCAGGGAAACAGCAGACCGGACTTGAGTCCTGGAGATGGGAAGTACAGTGCCTGCACTCTGAAGGAGGGGTGTTAATGTTGCAGTTTTATAACTGTAGTGAATGATGAAAGTTTTTCTTTTCCGGGCCACCCTGCCTTGGTGGGAGACTGCCGATGTGTTAATAAAATAAAATAAAAAAATAACACACACACACACACACACACACATATATATATATATATATATATATATATATATATTTTATATATATATATATATATATATATATATATATATATATATATGTCGTGCCGAATAGGCAGAACTTGCCATCATGGCTTAAATAGCAACGCTCATCTTGCCATATAAGGCACGTGAAAATTTGTGTATGCAATAATTTCGCCAAAATCATTCTGAACCTAACGAAAAAAATATATTTCACTGTGTTTGTTTAGTATTAAATTATTGTAAACAAATCTAAAATATATATAGTTGGGTTAGGCTAAAATAAATTGTTCTTGTTATAATAAGGTTAGGTAAGTTTTCTAAGATTCTTTTGGTGCAAAATTAATTTTTTTTACTTTAACATTAATGAGAAAAAATATATCTTTAAACGTATAAGAGAAAATTTTAGAAAGGACTTAATTTTAAATGAGTTCTTGCTAATTGACCAGTTTTATATTTTCGGCACGACATATATATATATATATATATATATATATATATATATATATATATATATATATATATATATATATATATATATATATATATATATATATATATATATATATATATACATATATATATATATATACATATATATATATATATATATATATATATATAATTATATATATATATATATATATATATATATATATATATATTATATATATATGTATGTATGTATGTATGTATATATTAACATATCGGCCGATTCCCACCAAGGCAGGGTGGCCCGAAAAAGAAAAATTTCACCATCATTCACTCCATCACTGTCTTGCCAGAAGGGTGCTTTACACTACAGTTATAAAACTGCAACATTAACACCCCTCCTTCAGAGTGTAGACACTGTACTTCCCTCTCCAGCACTCAAGTCCGGCCTGCCGGTTTCCCTGTATCCCTGCATAAATGCTACTTTGCTCACACTCCAACAGCACAAGTCATGAAAACCACTTGTTTCCATTTGCTCCTCTCTAACATGCTCACGCATGCTTGCTGAAAGTATAAGTCCCTCACACACAAAACCTCCTTCACCCCCTCCCTCCAGCCTTTCTTAGGCCGACCCCTAACCCGCCTTCCTTCTTCTACAGATTTATATACTCTTGAAGTCATTCTATTTCTTTCCACTCTCTCTACATGTCCAAACTACCTCAATAACATCTCACTGGTCAAAAGAGAGGCATATATAGGCGTATCAAAAGAGGGTATGGGCAGTTAAAAAATCAGTATATTCAATTAAAGAGAGAAATAAAGAAAGGAATAAGAAAAGCAAAAAGGGATTACGAGGCTAAGGTCGAAGGGATTCAAAGACTAACCCAAAAGGGTTCTTTCAGGTATACAGAAGTAAGATTAGGGATAAGATTGGCCCATTTAAGAGTAACTCTGGTCAGATCACTGACAGTGATAAGGATATGTGTGAAATTCTCAATACCTACTTCCTCTCAGTCTTCACCCAGGAAAATACTAGCGATATTCCTGAAATAATAGATAATGTAGAACAGGATGATAAGAAACTACGTACGATTGCGGTAACTAGTGACATGGTCCTCAGACAAATAGAGAAACTAAAACCTAACAAATCCCCAGACCCTGATGAACTGTTTGCAAGGGTGTTAAAGGAATGCAAAGAGAACTTATCATACCTTTGGCTAATCTTTTTAACATATCACTACAAACTGGCATAGTGCCTGATAAGTGGAAAATGGCAAATGTAATACCTATTTACAAGGCAGGTGACAGGTCCTTGGCTTCGATCTATAGACCAATAAGCCTTTCCTCCATAGTGGGAAAATTTATGGAATCAATAATTGCCGAAGCAATTCGTAGCCATCTTGACAGGCACAGATTGATTAATGAATCTCAACATGGTTTTACAAAGGGGCGTTCCTGTCTTACGAATTTACTAACTTTTTTCACTAAGGTGTTTGAGGAGGTAGATCATGGTAATGAATATGATATTGTGTATATGGACTTCAGTAAGGCTTTCGATAGAGTTCCACACCAGAGGCTATTGAGGAAACTTAAGGCACACGGAATAGGAGGAGAATTTTTTTCCTGGGTAGAGGCATGGCTGACAAATAGACAGCAGAGAGTTTGCACAAATGGGGAGAAATCAGAATGAGGGCACGTCACAAACGGGTCACTGTTAGGCCCGTTGTTGTTCACAATTTACATAAACGACATAGATGAGGGAATAAATAGACACAAGCAAATTTGCTGATGACAACAAAATAGGCCGTCCAATTCATTCTAATAAGGACACTAGAGCACTCCAGGATGATTTGAATAGACTGATGCAATGGTCGGAGAAGTGGCAGATGCAGTTTAATATTGACAAATGCAAAGTTCTAAATGTTGGACAGTTAAATACTACTGGTTAATACTACAGTTAATACTACTGGTTGCGAAAAGGATTAAGGAATTCTGGTTAGCAGTAATCTAAAACCAAAACAACAGTGCATTAGTGTTCGCAATAAAGCTAACAGAATTCTTGGCTTCATATCTAGAAGTATAAATAATAGAAGTCCTCAGGTTGTTCTTCAGCTCCATATATCCTTGGTTAGGCCTCATTTAGACTATGTAGCTCATTTCTGGTCACCGTATTACAGAATGGATATAAATGCTCTGGAAAACGTACCGAGGAAGATGACAAAGATGATCCCATGTATCAGAAATCTTCCATATGAGGATAGACTGAGGGCCCTGAATCTGCACTCTCTCGAAAGGCGTAGAATTAGGGGGGATATGATCGAGGTGTATAAATGGAAAACAGGAATAAATAAAGGGGATGTAAATATATTGCGTGCTGAAAATTTCCAGCCAAGACAGGACTCGCAGCAATGGTTTCAAGTTAGAAAAATTCAGATTCAGGAAGGATATAGGAAAGCACTGGTTTGGTAATAAAGTCGTGGATGAGTGGAACAAACTCCCCAGTACAGTTATTCAGGCTAAAACGTTGTGTAGATTTAAAAATAGGTTAGATAAATACATGAGTGGGTGTGGGTGGGTGTGTTGGACCTGGCTAGCTTGTGCTGCTGAGTCTGGTGCAGTGCTCCATCCTTGAGTGGAGGTGGCCAGACTGGGTGGGTTATTTGGCTAATCCGGGGGGGCCATTGGTCTAATCCGGAAGGGGGGGACATGGACCTGCTCCGCATGGGTCAGTAGGCCTGTTGCAGTGTTCCTTCTTTCTTATGTTCTTATGTTCTTATAACCCCTTCTCAGCCCTCTGGATAACAGTTTTCGTAATCCAGCACTTCCTCGTAATTTCCAAACAAAGAATTCTCTGCATTATATTCGCACCACTCGTTGCTCTCAGACATGACATCTCCACTGCCTCCAGCCTTCTCCTTGTTACAACATTCACCACCCATGCCTCACACCCATACAAGAGCGTTGGTATAACTATGCTCTCATTCATTCCCCTCTTTGCTTCGATGGATAAAGTTCTTTGTCTCCACAGACTCCTCAGTGTACCACTCACCTTTTTCCCCTCATCCTTTCTATGATTCATCTCATCTTTCATAGACCAATTTTTCGTTATCTATTTTTTTTATCCTCATTACTTTACTCTTTCTTATATTCACTTTTAATTTCCTTTTTTTACATACTCTACCAAACTCATCCACCAACCTCTGCAACTTATCATCAGAATCTCCCATAAGCACAGTGTCCTCAGCAAAGAGCAATAAAAGCAATAAAAGCTTCGCCATCTTCTAGATCGGTTATTCAAGAAATCATGTACACGGTGGCTACAAAAACACTCCCTGATTTCAAACAGGTATAACATGTAACTTTATTGTAATAATCTGTCACAGTTAATAGCTTCAGATGCAGGATTTCATTCAGTTTCATGTGGTATAGGGTAGCATTAAAGGTACTCAAAATGCGCCCCTCTGGTTGCTAGGCAAAAATCGATGTGATAGTCCAGTTCTGTCCAGAGGCTCTGCAGCATATCTGGAGTTATCATGCGAACTGCTTCAGTGATCGAAATTTTCGGCTCCTCCAGGGTTGTAAAGTAAAAGGACACAAGTGCAACTAATGTGACATTTATTGTGGCAACGTTCGCTCTCCAGGAGCTTTATCAAGCCATTAATGGCTTGATAAAGCTCCTGGAGAGCGAAACGTTGCCACAATAAATGTCACATTAGTTGCACTTGTGTCCTTTTACTTTACATATTGTCGGTAATTCTACCAACTTTATTACAATCCTCCAGGGTTGCAGATAATGGTGGAACGTAAATTGTACTCTTCACGTACCCCCAAAGAAAGAAGTCACAAACAGGTCCGGTGACCTCTGCAAGTGGCCTGCAAAGTCACCGGATCTAACTGTTTGTATAATAACTCCAGATATGCTGCAGAGCGTCTGGACCAAACTGGACTATCGCATGGATGTTTGCCAAGCAACCAGAGGGGTGCACATTGAGTGCTACGCTATACCACATGAACTGAACGAAATCCTGCATCTGAAGCTACTAACTGTGAAAGATTATCTAACTTAACCTAACCTAACTTAACCTATCCTAACCGAACCTAACTTAATTTAACCTAACTTAACCTAACCTAACCTAACCAAACCTAGGCTAACCTAATTTAACATAACCTAAAATAACCTAACTTAACCTAACCTCTCCTAAACTAACCTAACCTAACGTAACAAAACTTACCCTAACCTAACATGACTCACGAAACCGTAATGACACGACTGCAAACAAACCATACCACGGGCGGGATAGAACCCGCGATCAGAGTCTCAAAACTCCAGACCGTCGCGTTATCCACTGGACCAGCTAGCCACTGTGGCTAGCTGGTCTAGTACGGTTTTTTTTACCCTAACCTAACTTAACGTAACCTAACTTAACCTAACCTAATGTATCCTAATCTAACTTAACCTAACCTTCATAGATTAAATTCAGTTTTATAGTGCTACTAAAACATTTATATTTCCGCAGTGCAAGACATCAGTTACCTCAACAATGGTTCATGTCAGTTTGGGATGAGTGTAGCTCATGGTAAGGTACGTTCATGTATATATATTATCTACTTTTATATTTATTCTGCCATTTTTATGTATATGTGGTTTTTATGATTTGATGTGCTCTTGTAGTGTGAGCCGGACATGAGTCCTGGGATGAGAAGTACAGTGTCTGCACTTTGAAGGAGGGTTAGGGATGCTGTGGCTTGTACAGTCATCTGAACCGTGATGCCCTGACGAGTCAGGCAGAACAGTGATTGAATGAGTAAAAATGTGACCGTCTTCTTAGTCAGGTCACCCTACCTCGGTGGAAGACGGCCGGGTGGCCCGTTGCCTGGTGGCAAAAGTTCTCGCTTCACACGGTGAGGCTCCGGGTTCGATTCCCGGCGAGGGTAGAAACACTGGGCGTTTTTCCTTACACCGGTTGTCTATGTTCACCCATCAGTAATAATGGGTAACTGGGCGTTAGTCGATTGGTGTGGGTCGCATCCTGGGACAAAATTTACCTAATTTGCCCGAAATGCTCAGTATAACAAGCGGCTTTCTATATCGTAGTATATTACTGATGTCAGGTAGGACTGTATACCTTGTACATGCACTTGTAGAAATAAAGATATTATTATTATTATTATTATTATTATTATTATTATTATTATTATTATTATTATTATTATTATTATTATTATTATTATTATTATTAAAAAGAATCTTATATCTATGATGCCATCTTCCCAGTGTGAACTCTTCCTCCTCCAGAGGTGGACTCGTTAGGAGATGTTTTGAACTTCTTAAGGAATTGAAAGAATTTACTTCACTGAGGGCAACCACTAGTCTTACCACCCAAAGTATGGCCCTTATGAGTATAGAGCTTTCCCAAGAAGTATATAAATATAACTATAATTAACTAGGGATTTACTGACTGCGACCCGAAGTGGGTACAAATTATTATTATTATTATTATTATTATTATTATTATTATTATTATTATTATTATTATTATTATTATTATTATTACACTGGTCTGCATGTTGTTTTTTATTGACTCTATGGTATTTTTTTCGGTATATATATATATATATATATATATATATATAATATAATAATATATTATATATATATATATGGAAAATAGTGATTCATTGTGTTTTTTCTTCATCTCTGTCACATCAGGTTGTCAAGTTATACGGAAACGTTACTTTTCTCTTTACTTATAACATAAGTAAATGAGAAAGTGGTATATTACCAATTAAAATGCTTACCTTACATTGGCTTAAATATTAAATCTAATACATTTTTCATTATTTTCAGATTATTGATATGTCTAGAGGCTGCATAAATTCACCAGATATATTTTGCTATGTCTGCGGGCAAAATAGCGCTGCTATTTTGCTTATTTTGGCTGCAAACTTGGAGACCAGGACAAACCATTTGCACCACACAAAGTTTGCAAGAGTTGTATCAGTAAACTCCAAATGTGATCAGTTGGAAAACTTAAATGTATGCCCTTTGGAGTACCAATGGTATGGTGGGAGTAGATGAACCACCATGATGACTGCTACTTTTGTATGACTAAAGTAGCTGGATTCAACAAGAAGACTAAAGATCGCATAATATACCCAAATATTCCTTCAGAAACATGGCCTGTTCCACACTCTGAAGATAATCCTGTACCTGTGTCACCTGAGACATGGCAAATTTCATACGAGTCTGATACCAGTGATTCTAAGGAGATGAAAGTAGACTTTGAACCACCAACAAATGACGATTCCAAACCCTTCAGCCAAGTTGACCTCAATGACTTGGTGAGAGACCTTAACCTTCCAAAGGAAAATGCACACTTACTTGGCTCTAGACTGAAGGAACACGGGCTTCTAGCTCTTGGAACAACATTCGTTTCGTACCGTCATCGTGAAGTGGAAATCACTCAGTTCAAATATTTCTGGCCTTATTGAACACAGTGGGATGTCATACAAATCAGATGAATGGAGAATCATTATTGATTCTTCTAAAAGAAGTTTAAAGGCTGCACTTCTCTACAATGGCAACACAGCTGCATCTGTGCCAATTGGCCATAGTGTCCAAATGTCAGAAACTTACGCAAATATGAAGACACTAATATCTGCAGTCAAGTTCCAGAATCACAATTTTCTCATTTGTGGTGATTTAAAAGTTATTGCTCTCCTACTAGATCTTCAAGGCGAATACACCAAGTATCCCTGTTTTTTGTGTCTTTGGGATAGCACTATGAACAAAAATACAGGCCACCAAGAACCAGCATCCTACCCGGAAATCACAACGTAAAATCTGTGCCACTAGTTGACCCCAAGAAAATTCTGCTGCCACCACTCCACATCAAATTAGGGCTAATGAAAAATTTTGTGAAGGTCTTGAACAAGAATAGAACAGCTTTCAAGTACCTGGAGCCAAAGTTTCCTCGTATAAGTGAAGGCAAGGAAAAAGCAGGAATCTTTGTTGGCCCTCAGATTCGGGAATTAATGAAGGACAAGCATTTTGATGAAGCATTAGCAGGTGTCGAAGTGAATGTCTGGTTTTCATTCAAGCACATTGTCCACAACTTCCTGGGAAACAGGCGCTCCCCCGAATATGAAAAAAATGATCAAAGACCTGATTTCAACTTTCCAACAACTTCGGTCTAGAATGAGTGTGAAGATGCACTTTTTGCACTCACGTCTTGACTATTTTCCCAACAATTTTGGGGACTACAGTGAGGAACAAGGAGAGTGGTTCCATCAGGATATTTGCACCATGGAAACTCGATACCAGGCAAATGGAAGGTCAGCATGATGGTGGATTACTGCTGGTCATTGAAGCGTAATGTTCTCGATGCACAGCACAAGCAAAGCGATTCTCCTTCCTTTGATTCAATATGTAGGCTAACCATTATGAGCATATTTTTTAATAAAATCATTTGATTTGATTCATATTGATTTAGAATTCATATGTTCTTAAAACAAACAGAATGTGTTTTTACATGGTTACTTGCCTAATTTTTTATAAATTCCCACTTTTTATTATCATTAATTTGTATTTTAATCAAAATTCTTACCTGATAGAGCAAAATGGTTTAGATATTTGCAATCAGCAGCCGAAGAATATGTAAGATCGCAACCATGAATAAAACTAAAATTTAAAAACATTTCAAATGCAGACCAGTGTTATTTACACTATCATGTGGAAACTCTAAATAGTTTAAAGTTGAGCCCAAAAGAGGCATGATGAGAGGCGAACATCAGAGAAAATGTAAAGTAATAATGTATCAAAGAAGACATGATGGTAATTATTATGTTTCAGAGAAAAATGTTAGCTAATAACATTGAAGTTGCCTTTAAAATTCCTATTCAAGACGTCAGTTTACAACCATAAACATTATAAAACCTGCCTTTCAGTCTGTCATGCAGTATCTTCACAGAATGGAGACAGTAATGTAAAATGTTTTATAAATTGTTCGATTTATAAAATATACTCTGCATATATTCTGACGAGTCTAACTCCCTTGTTGTGTGTGCGCTGAGAGGAACAGTCTATATATATATATATATATATATATATATATATATATATATATATATATATATATATATATATATATATATATATATATATATATATATATATATATATATATATATATAATATATATATATATATAATATGAAAAATACATGTAATAGAATAAAATATTAATTTCGTACTACTCAATTATCAAGAATATAAATAATATCAAAGAAGTATATAATTAAATATATACAATGCAAAACAAACCACCATGGAAAGAATAGAGAAATCCAAGCGCTTTCGTGACTACTCACATTATCAAGGAACTATGAAAGTAAAGCATCAAAGGAAGGTATATAAGGGGTCTGGCCAACACCTCACTATCAGATCCCACAACAGTTAAACACCTGACGCGCGGTCCTTCGCACAACCCACCAACAAACTATTCTACCCAAGAAAATTTTAAAAATTATTATTTGTCCAGTGTATTATTAAATTCTTCCCAAATTCTATTAATTATAAAAGGATCTAATTTATATAAACCAAAAGAAATATTCATATTATTGTCAAAACTGCTTTTTATGAAACAAGATTCAATTATATTCCTGTCGACCATGGACTTGCTTGATACTACTTACTCAACTTTTTGAAAATCAATTGGATAGGTTAAAATCTCTTACATGAATAAATAGAGCATTGAAATCTTGTCCAGTTCTAATGCTATATTTATGTTGTTTTAATCTTAGTTCGAGATTTTTACCAGTTTGACCGCAATAAACTTTATCGCAAATTTTACAAGGAATCTTATAGACACATCTATCAGCATTTTGGGGGGAATTCATTTACTGTATCAAGATTTTTGAATACAACTTTAATATTAAAAGTCTTAAGAAGAGAAGGCATATCAACCAAGTTTTCATGGTAAGGGAGAACCAACATATTTTTAGTTGAATAAGGCTGGTTGTCCCTTTTTGGATTGTAAAAATTATTTCTAGCAACTTTAAAAGATTTATCAATTACATTTCTTGGGTATTTTAAATCATTACCTATTTCATAAATTTTGGATATTTCCTCATCTATGAACTCAGGACTATAAATTCGTAAAGCTCTCAAAAACATTGATGAGAAAACAGACAGTTTGACTCTATCTTGATGCGAAGAATAATAGTGGACATAGGAACAGTTATTGGTAGGTTTTCTGTAAATTTTAAATTTGAATTCATTATTACCATTAATAATTAAAATATCTAGAAAAGGCAATGAGTTATTTTCTTCAAACTCAACAGTAAAGTTTATAGAATGAGCTAAGCTATTTAATTTTCCAAGGAAATGGTGTATATCTACATTTTTGGGCGTAAGACACAAAATATCATCAACATATCTGAACCATTTAGCTCTATTAGGGAGGATTGTGTTAAGCAACCTTGTTTCAAAAAATCCATGTATAGGTTACTAAGAACAGGTGAAAGAGGATTTCCCATTGCCATACCAAACTTCTGAGTGTAAAACTTATCATTAAATACAAATTTTGCATCAACAATGCAAAGTTTAATAAGTTTAATGATAGTAGGAACTGGCAATGGTAAATCATAATTAACGAGTTCTTCAGATAAGAAACTTAATAAATCATCAACAGGAACTTTCGTAAACAAGGAAGTAACATCAAAACTAACCATGTTAAAATCATTTAAGTCAGTCAAGGAGCTTAATTTATCAACTAAGTCAATGTTGTTTTTAACATTAAAGTTAGAAATTTTGCCAACAACAGGGCTCAAAATATCAACAAGCCATTTGGATAATTTATATGAAACTGACCCTATGGAGCTAATAATTGGTCTGACTGGATTCCCTGGTTTGTGTGTTTTTATTAGTCCATACATGTAAGGTAAAGATGGATTAGTGGAAGTAAATTGTTTGACTAATTCATCTTTGCCTTTCAGTAGAAGTTTTATTGTTTTATTGAAATTGCTGTTAACGGTTTCTAGGGGATTTTTCCTAAGTTTAGAATAGGTTTCAGTATCATCTAAGAGATTATTCATTTTTTCTTGGTAATCATTTTCTTTCATAATTACTATTGCATTTTTTTTGTCTGCTTTAGTAAGGCGCAAATTTTTATTGTTATTAAGTGTATCATAAGACGATTTATTAAGTTTCTTAATTGAAGAACTCGCTAACTATGATTTACCATTGCCATTTCCTACTATCATTAAACTTATTAAACTTTGCATTGTTGATACAAAATTTGTATTTAATGATAAGTTTTACACTCAGAAGTTTGGTATGGCAATGGGAAATCCTCTTTCACCTGTTCTTAGTAACCTATACATGGAATTTTTTGAAACAAGGTTGCTTAACACAATCCTCCCTAATAGAGCTAAATGGTTCAGATATGTTGATGATATTTTGTGTCTTATGCCCAAAAATATAGATATACACAATTTCCTTGGAAAATTAAATAGCTTAGCCCATTCTATAAACTTTACTGTTGAGTTTGAAGAAAATAACTCATTGCCTTTTCTATATGTTTTTAATTATAAGGGTAATAATGAATTCAATTTAAAATTTACAGAAAACCTACAAATAACTGTTCCTATGTCCACTATTATTCTTCGCATCAAGATAGAGTCAAACTGTCTGTTTTCTCATCAATGTTTTTGAGAGCTTTACTAATTTGTAGTCCTGAGTTCATAGATGAGGAAATATCCAAAATTTATGAAATAGGTAATGATTTAAAATACCCAAGAAATGTAATTGATAAATCTTTTAAAGTTGCTAGAAATACTTTTTACAATCCAAAGAGGGACAACCAGCCTTATTCAACTAAAAATATGTTGGTTCTCCCTTACCATGAAAACTTGGTTGACATGCCTTCTCTTCTTAAGACTTTTAATATTAAAGTTGTATTCAAAAATCTTGATACAGTAAAAAAACTTTTGATAAAGAATTCCCCCCAAAATGCTGATAGATGTGTCTATAAGATTCCTTGTAAAATTTGCGATTAAGTTTGTTACGGTCAAACTGGTAAAAATCTCGAACTAAGATTAAAACAACATAAATATAGCATTAGAACTGGACAAGATTCCAATGTTCTATTTATTCGTGTAAGAGATTTTAACCATCCAATTGATTTTCAAAAAGTTGAGAAAGTAGTATCAAGCAAGTCCATGGTCGACAGGAATATAATTGAATCTTGTTTCATAAAAAGCAGTTTTGACAATAATTTGAATATTTCTTTTGGTTTATATAAATTAGATCCTTTTATAATTAATAGAATTTGGGAAGAATTTAATAATACACTGGACAAATAATAATTTTTAAAATTTTCTTGGGTAGAATAGTTTGTTGCTGAGTTGTGCGAAGGACCTGTCCAGTTGGGCCGGCGTGTGCCAGGTGTTTAACTGTTGTGGGATCTGATAGTGAAGTGTTGGCCAGACCCCTTATATACCTTCCTTTGATGCTTTACTTCCAATGTTCCTTGATAATGTGAGTAGTCACGAAAGCGCTTGGAATTTCTCTATTCTTTCACAATGGTTGTTTTGCATATTCTGAAATCACCTGTTTGCTGTGATCTTATTGCATATATATATATATATATATATATATATATATATATATATATATATATATATATATATATATATATATATATATATTATATATATATATATATATATATATATATATATATATATATATATATATATATATATATATATATACACACATTTGCAAATATATTTTTTCAGGGCGAGCAATCTTTCACGGTGGGCTCTCCTGGCTGCTGGAACTGGCAAGGTTAGTTACATATATCAGCATTTACCACGAAGTGTGTGAAAGAGGTGAATCACGCCATGCGAGTGTCGTCACGACGGCACATTTTTCAGTGCTCTGTTTTTCATATAATAAGTAAATAAATATAAGGAGCGGTTCATTATAAACTTAGCAAAACGTCTTATTTGTTTTAATAAACGTTTCGAACTGAGCACAAATGTCTCTGGCCCCACCGACAGTTGGTGACAAAGGTATGACCGTTAAAATTTCTTCATTTATACAACGTTTCACCAAGTGTTGAGTTTTTCCTGGAGTTGCTGGGAAAAACGTGGTGTTGAGCGGCACCTTGTACAGACAGAAGTCGTCCCTGGAGTCGTATCTTCGTTACTAAACAACATTACTAACAAACACAAGTTATGAAAAATTAAACATTTTTCATCACTGACTGACTGAACATTTCAGAGCTCTATACTGAATGATCGAGTGTTTCAGAGCTCTATACTGAATGACCGAGTGTTTCAGAGCTCTATACTGAATGACCGAGTGTTTCAGAGCACTATATTGAATGATCGAGTGTTTCAGAGCTCTATACTGAATGATCGAGTGTTTCAGAGCTCTATACTGAATGACTGAGTGTTTTAGAGCTCTATACTGAATGATCGATTGTTTCAGAGCTCTATACTGAGTGATCGAGTGTTTCAGAGCTCTATACTGAATGACCGAGTGTTTCAGAGCTCTATACTGAATGACCGAGTGTTTCAGAGCTCTTTACTGAATGATCGAGTATTTCAGAGCTCTATACTGAATGATCGAGTGTTTCAGAGCTCTATACTGAATGATCGAGTGTTTCAGAGCTCAATGTTGAATGATCGAGTGTTTCAGAGCTCTATACTGAATGATCGAGTGTTTCAGAGCTCTATACTGAATGACCGAGTGTTTCAGAGCTCTATACTGAATGACCGAGTGTTTCAGAGCTCTATACTGAATGATCGAGTATTTCAGAGCTCTATACTGAATGATCGAGTGTTTCAGAGCTCTATACTGAATGATCGAGTGTTTCAGAGCTCAATGTTGAATGATCGAGTGTATCAGAGCTCTATACTGAATGATCGAGTGTTTCAGAGCTCTATACTGAATGACCGAGTGTTTCAGAGCTCTATACTGAATGACCGAGTGTTTCAGAGCTCTATACTGAATGATCGAGTGTTTCAGAGCTCTGTACTGAATGACCGAGTGTTTCAGAGCTCTATACTGAATGATCGAGTGTTTCAGAGCTCTATACTGAATGATCGAGTGTTTCAGAGTTCTATACTGAATGACCGAGTGTTTCAGAGTTCTATACTGAATGATAGATTGTTTCAGAGCTCTATATTGAATGACCGAGTGTTTCAGAGTTCTGTACTGAATGATCGAGTGTTTCAGAGCTCTATACTGAATGACCGAGTGTTTCAGAGCTCTATACTGAATGATCAAGTGTTTCAGAGCTCTATACTGAATGATCGAGTGTTTCAGAGTTCTATACTGAATGACCGAGTGTTTCAGAGTTCTATACTGAATGATAGATTGTTTCAGAGCTCTATATTGAATGACCGAGTGTTTCAGAGTTCTGTACTGAATGATCGAGTGTTTCAGAGCTCTATACTGAATGACCGAGTGTTTCAGAGCTCTATACTGAATGACCGAGTGTTTCAGAGTTCTGTACTGAATGATCGAGTGTTTCAGAGTTCTGTACTGAATGATCGAGTGTTTCAGAGCTCTATACTAAATGATCGAGTGTTTCAGAGCTCTACACTAAATGATCGAGTGTTTCAGAGGTCTATACTGAGTGATCGAGTGTTTTAGAACTTTATACAAATTGAACGAGAGTTTCAGAGCTCTATACTGAATGACCGAGTGTTTCAGAGTTCTATACTGAATGATCGAGTGTTTCACAGCTCTATACTGAATGATCGAGTGTTTCAGAGCTCTATACTGAATGATCGCGTGTTTTAGAGCTCTATACTGAATGACTGAGTATCAAAGAGCTTTACAAAGGGTGATCAAGTACCCCAGAGCTTTACAAAGCGTGATCAAGCACCTCAGAGCTTTAGAAAGAGTGCTCAAGTACCTTAGAGCTTTACAAAGAGTGATCTAGCACCTGAGAGCTTTAGAAAGAGTGCTCAAGTACCTTAGAGCTTTACAAAGAGTGATCAAGCACCTCAAAGCTTTAGAAAGAGCGCTCAAGTACCTCAGAGCTTTACAAAGAGTGATCAAGCACCTCTGAGCTTTACAAAGAGTGATCAAGCACCTCAGAGCTTTACAAAGAGTGATCAAGTACCTCAGAGATTTACAAAGAGTGATCCAGTACCTCAGAGCTTTACAAAGAGTGATCAAGTACCTCAGAGCTTTACAAAGAGTGATCAAGCACCTCAGAGCTTTACAAAGAGTGATCAAGCACCTCAGAGCTTTACAAAGAGTGATCCAGCACCTCAGAGCTTTACAAAGAGTGATCCAGTACCTCAGAGCTTTACAAAGAGTAATCAAGCACCTCAGAGCTTTACAAAGAGTGATCAAGCACCTCAGAGCTTTACAAAGAGTGATCAAGCACCTCAGAGCTTTACAAAGAGTGATCAAGCACCTCAGAGCTTCACAAAGAGTGATCCATTACCTCAGAGCTTTACAAAGAGTGATCCAGTACCTCAGAGCTTTACAAAGAGTGATCCAGCACCTCAGAGCTTTACAAAGAGTGATCCAGTACCTCAGAGCTTTACAAAGAGTGATCAAGTACCTCAGAGCTTTACAAAGAGTGATCCAGTACCTCAGAGTTTTACAAAGAGTGATCAAGCACCTCAGAGCTTTACAAAGAGTGATCCAGTACCTCAGAGCTTTACAAAGAGTGATCAAGCACCTCAGAGCTTTACAAAGAGTGATCCAGTACCTCAGAGCTTTACAAAGAGTGATCAAGTACCCCAGAGCTTTACAAAGCGTGATCAAGCACCTGAGAGCTTTAGAAAGAGTGCTCAAGTACCTTAGAGCTTTACAAAGAGTGATCCAGCACCTCAGAGCTTTACAAAGAGTGATCCAGCACCTCAGAGCTTTACAAAGAGTGATCCAGTACCTCAGAGCTTTACAAAGAGTAATCAAGCACCTCAGAGCTTTACAAAGAGTGATCAAGCACCTCAGAGCTTTACAAAGAGTGATCAAGCACCTCAGAGCTTTACAAAGAGTGATCAAGCACCTCAGAGCTTTACAAAGAGTGATCCATTACCTCAGAGCTTTACAAAGAATGATCCATTACCTCAGAGCTTTACAAAGAGTGATCCAGCACCTCAGAGCTTTACAAAGAGTGATCCAGTACCTCAGAGCTTTACAAAGAGTGATCAAGTACCTCAGAGCTTTACAAAGAGTGATCCAGTACCTCAGAGTTTTACAAAGAGTGATCAAGCACCTCAGAGCTTTACAAAGAGTGATCCAGTACCTCAGAGCTTTACAAAGAGTGATCAAGCACCTCAGAGCTTTACAAAGAGTGATCAAGCACCTCAGAGCTTCAGGAGAGAGATTGCTTGTTTTCATAAATTTTGTTCAAGGTATGTAGTGTTGGGTGTGTCACTGCTGGTAATATGCCCTTCAAGAGAGAGGAAGGGGCCTCGATGCGTGTGAAGGGCTCTTGCGATAATTTGTGAACGCGTGATCAGATCGGCTGCAAACTTTCAAGGCTGATAACCTAATAATACCACTTCTGAGTGATTTTAAGCCAAAAGGTACGGTGTATTCTCGGGCGTTAGTCTCTGTGGATAACTAGAGAATGCATTTTCAGATAAGCTTTAAATTTTCGAATTGGTATTGGCCTGGGTAGGTGCCAATTTGCCGTTCTGCTGAAGAAAATGTGATGTTAGTGTCAGTGCGATAACTTGCAAATGCCTCTCCTGGGGCATTCCTTTTGCATGCAGTGAGGTATAGAGGGTTGGGCTTGTGGGAGACGGGGATCGCACCTCGACGGAAACACGTTCAGTTCCTAAAGTTCTTTCCTTATCATCCGGCAGGTGACACGTGGGAGATGGATTTAGAGCAGTCGCTAGAGAGCGTCACTTCTCTGAGACGAGTGAGCCATCTCACCCTCCAGGACGTTGATCAGATCTACGACGCCAGCGCGAGCTCCCCGCTACCACTTTATACTACAGTGACGGATCTGTATCTGGGCTACAGCGTTGCCGGCATAATATTTGGCGGTGCTCCTGCCATAGTGTCCTCAATGCCACGGACTGTAAGCACCAGGCAGCTGAAAGTCGATGACAGGGTACGTAGTAGGAAGACCTGTCATGTAGGTTACAGACTTTGTATTGTTACATTGAAGGTATATTATTATATTTAATGACCTATTAATAGTATATTAAAGGTGCTTTAGTGATATATTAATGGTATACCAACAAGTAGATGTCTAAGACACATATGCAGTACTTTGATATTTTTTTGGGACAATAATAACAGTAGTTTTTGCCACTGGTGATTAAACAACAGAAATTCTATTACTGTTGTCTGGAATCTAGTGTCTGCCGTGCCCGCCGTGCCTCGTGTGCTCCTTGTTTCTCGTGTTTTCACGGTCTCTCTTACGTGCTAGAACTTTAATTTGTGCCAGCGGTCTTATACGATACATCCCTCTAGCGCTTGGAACCAATCTTGGGGAGAAAATAGTACATACTGAGTCATAAAGGAGGATTAGTGTGCAATACCTAGCAGAGTTTTACTGCCAGAGGGGAATCATAGCCCTAGTGTGCCGTGTGCAAAATAATGATAATAGAACTTTTCTTAGTCAGAGGAAAGAAAGTCTCCTGATAATATTGTGTGTACATAGTGTTATAGTGTATACTACAGTGGCACCCTAGTATATAGATAATAAATGCTAAAGTGTCATTTAAAACAGGTGTAATTGAAACTGAAGTGATAGGACTAAAGAGGCAGTTGCCAGAAGTCGCCAGAAACTTACCACACAAGTCAGCTGTTTTAATAATCTTCCTGACCTGCTTGTGTACCTCGATATAATCTAGTGATACCAGTGAATAGCAGAATACAGTGTTGTAGTAGCAACTGACCAGTAATATAATGGTACTTAGTGGAGTGGAGTGACTTTCATTAGTTTTTTCTCCATTCTTGAAATACCAGACGTATAGAGTGAAATTCATATAACCTATAGTTACCAGCGGTCGCAATATACACAACGAGAAGCAAATATCACTCCAGAAAAAGCGTCTTTCCTCCAATAATTTCACCAGTCAACTATAGTGAAAATATAGCATTTGTTGTGGTGGAGACGGAAAAAAACTAGAAAAGCTAGATACAGTGATCGATAATCCTTCAGGCTGTAAATAAGGGTTGAGGTCTCGACCGTTCGTCATTGTACGAGCTGCCAGCAATCACCAGTTCTTCAACACGCAAGTTATAATTTTGTATCAATCTAATCACATATTACTCGTTTAAATAATTTCCAGTAGTTCCTTCATGTGTTAGCCCAAATCACCGACCAGATGTGTTTTAAATAAGCGACCCACTGATCAGATCCGGCTGGTTCCGAACCCTTGGCTGATCCGAACCATTGACCGGTTTCAAACGGATTCGTTGGACAATAAAGCAGACTGTAAATAGACGGGGTTTTAGGCGCCCTTATCAAACACAAACAATAAATGTAAAACAGGAAGGTACACCGGTAAGCTGTCCTAATATACAAGTACAGCTAGAAATAGAAATACAAATAGCCAGAACTTCACTTTAAAGAAGGTTCATGATATTGATTTTCGAAAAGGTTTACTAGTAGAACATGTATTATTATCAACCATTCAAATCACATTATGAAGCTCTGTGTAGTCTGCAGTCAATCAAACAAACGGGCTTCCACATGGATTACTTGCCATTTTTGTGAAAATTGGTGTCGTGCCCCTTGTGCAGATATCCAAGAACTATCTACAAGCAGTATAAAATCAGGGAAGTGTTTTTGGGTATGCCCAAATGAGATAAATCTGTGGATTAAAATCACATTGGTATTAAAAGAGGATAACATCAGAGCAGCCTTCATAGAAAACCTGGAAGCATTCTATAACAGATGGGAAAATAAAAAGTCTGGGCTGGATGCTATCGCCCTTGGTACTGGCCATGTAGTCAGAAACTGTAAGGCTGGAGGTGCTGTCCTGGGTAACAGTAATGGTGAAGATGGAGGTGCTGTCCTGGGTAACAGTAATGGTGAAGATGGAGGTGCTGTCCTGGGAGACAGTAATGGTGAGGATGGAGATGCTGTCCAGGTAGTCAGTAAATGTACGCATGAAGGAATGCATATAAATGACCTCAAGGGAGACAGGAGCTGTAGTGGGGAAACAAGTGTAGTCAAGGACAAGATAAAACCAATATTACAAACTAGTAATACCACAGGAGATAGCAAACAAGGGGACTCCACTAGCAATAGTGAGGATATATTACCAAAAACAACTGGTGAGAGCTCCATTGCTAGTACTAGTGAGGGTAGGAATGAGACAGGTAAACATGCACCAACAGGGAATACAGTCACAGAAACCCAAGGCAAACGGAAACCAAGCCTGTGCACATACTATGCACTTGGTATCTGCAGGCATGGGAAATCTGGAAAAACAGATGGGACGTGCAACTATGACCACTCAAGAAAATGCCATGCCCATATGACAACAGGAAAATGCAAACTCACTTCCTGTAAGCTTTTTCACCCTGAAATGAGTCTCTCTTCAGTACAGGAAAGACTGTGCTATAACTTAATTGCCAGGCACACCATCTAAAGGGGACATAAAGATACAAAACATCCAGGCCATGGGAAAACCTGGGTAGCCACAGCCACTCAAGAGGGAGAGGCTTTTTAGTGCCAGGAAGGAAAAAAAACTGGCAGGAAGTGGCGGAAATCGAATGCCAAATCCAGTCATTCCTGGAGTGGAACCACACTCGATGGCCTCCACTCCAAACCAAAAAATACAGATACTAGTGCCGGAAAAAAGTCCCCCTCAGTACCACTAATACCACCAGTCCGATGACATTCTTCTTTGCAAATATACAGGGTCTAAAGCCAGCAACGAACAACAAAATACCTTTCATCCGTGGACTGCTTGCAGAGGCAAATGCAATGTTCGCGGCTTTCACTGAGACCCACATAAAGGATCACTTGGACACCGAAATATGGATCCCAGGTTACAACCTATACAGATATGACAGAGTGAACAGGCAAAAGGGGGGGGGGGTTGGCCTGTATATCGCAGAGTCACTTGTTTGCACAGAACTGCTTAATGCCTCAAATGATGTAGTGGAAGTTTTAGCAGTAAAGATCGAGAACCAAAACCTAGTCACTGTGGTAGTCTACAAGCCTCCGGATGCAACGTCCCAGCAATTCCAGGAACAGCTGTCAAAAATTGACCACTGTCTGGAAAATCTGCCAGCTCCTGCCCCCAACATCTTGCTCCTGGGGAATTTCAACTTGAGGCACCTAAAATGGAGGAATATAGCAAATAATGTTGTTGCAGTGATAACACCAGGAGGCAGCTCTAACGAGAACTCACACACACACGAGCTTTTAAATCTCTGCACAAAATTCAACTTAAACCAGCAAATAATAGAGCCTAATAGACTGGAGAATACACGAGACCTCATCTTCACTAACAATGATGATCTGATACGAAATGTCACCATATCAAAAACAATATACTCAGATCACAACATAATCGAGGTTCAGACATGTATGCGCGGAGCCCCAGACCGACAAAATGAGATTAGTCACGAGGGAGCATTCACCAAATTCAACTTCAGTAACAAGAACATAAAGTGGGACCAAGTAAATCAAGTCCTAAACGATATAAGCTGGGAAGGCAGACTAAGCAACACAAACCCCAACTTATGCCTAGAACAAATTAACTCGGTGGCACTCGATGTATCCTTTAAGAAAAAGGATGAGTAGATGTAAAATAGAAAGAGACAGGCGCTCCCTTTACAGGCGACGGAAAAGAATAACAGAGAGGCTAAAAGAGGCCAATATATCTGAAATGCGTAGGGAGTCACTGGTCAGAGAAATAGCAAACATCGAACTTAAGCTAAAGGAATCTTATAGGAGTCAGGAATCGCGAGAAGAACTAAAAGCCATATATGAAATCGAAAGAAACCCAAAAGTATTTCTTTTCTTATGCCAAATCAAAGTCGAGAACAACATCCAGTATTGGGTACCTACTTAAACAAGATGGGTCCTACACAGATGACAGCAAGGAAATGAGTGAGCTACTCAAGTCCCATTATGACTCAATTTTTAGCAAGCCGCTAACCAGACTGAGAGTCGAAGATCAAAATGAATTTTTTATGAGAGAGCCACAGAATTTGGTTAAAACAAGCCTAAATGATATTATCCTGACGCCAAATGACTTCGAACAGGCGATAAATGACATACCCATGCACTCTGCCCCAGGGCCAGACTCATGGAACTCCGTGTTCATCAAGAACTGCAAGCTTTTACCATCACAAGCTTTTACCATCCTATGGAGAGGGAGCATGGACACGGGGGTCGTCCCACAGTTACTAAAAACAACAGACATAGCCCCACTCCACAAAGGGGGCAGTAAAGCAATAGCAAAGAACTACAGACCGATAGCACTAACATCCCATATCATAAAAATCTTTGAAAGGGTCCTAAGAAGCAAGATCGCCACCCATCTAGATACCCATCAATTACACAACCCAGGGCAACGGGTTTAGAGCAGGTCGCTCCTGTCTGTCTCAGCTACTGGATCACTACGACAAGGTCCTAGATGCACTAGAAGACAAAAAGAATGCAGATGTAATATATACAGACTTTGCAAAAGCCTTCGACAAGTGTGACCATGGCGTAATAGCGCACAAAACGCGTGCTAAAGGAATAACAGGAAAAATTGGTAGATGGATCTATAATTTCCTCACAAACAGAACACAAAGAGTAGTAGTCAACAGAGTAAAGTCTGAGGCGGCTACGGTGAAAAGCTCTGTTCCACAAGGCACAGTACTCACTCCCATCTTGTTTCTCATCCTCATATCTGATATAGACAAAGATGTCAGCCACAGCACCGTGTCTTCTTTTGCAGATGACACCCGAATCTTCAAGGCTCCAGCCGGACATCAACCAAATCTTTCAGTGAGCTGCAGAAAACAATATGAAGTTCAACGATGAGAAATTTCAATTACTCCGATATGGTAAACATGAGGAAATTAAAACTTCATCAGAGTACAAAACAAAATAGAGCGAAAAACCAACGTCAAAGACCTGGGAGTGATCATGTCGGAGGATCTCACCTTCAAGGACCATAACATTGTATCAATCGCATCTTCTAGAAAAATGACAGGATGGATAATGAGAACCTTCAAAACTAGGGATGCCAAGCCCATGATGACACTCTTCAGGTCGCTTGTTCTATCTAGGCTGGAATACTGCTGCCCACTAACAGCACCTTTCAAGGCAGGTGAAATTGCCGACCTAGAAAATGTACAGAGAACCTTCTCGGCGCGCATAACGGAGATAAAACACCTCAATTACTGGGAGCGCTTGAAGTTCCTGAACCTGTATTCCCTGGAACGCAGGCGGGAGAGATACATGATTATATACACCTGGAAAATCCTAGAGGGACTAGTACCGAACTTGCACACGAAAATCACTCACAACGAAAGCAAAACACTCGGCAGACGATGCAACATACCCCCAATGAAAAGCAGGGGTGTCACTAGCACGTTAAGAGACCATACAATAAGTGTCAGGGGCCCGAGACTGTTCAACTGCCTCCCAGCATACATAAGGGGGATTACCAACAGACCCCTGGCAGTCTTCAAGCTGGCACTGGACAAGCACCTAAAGTAGGTTCCTGACCAGCCGGACTGTGGCTCGTACGTTGGATTGCGTGCAGCCAGCAGTAACAGCCTGATTGATCAGGCTCTGATCCACCAGGGGGCCTGTTCACGGACCGGGCCGCGGGGGCGTTGACCCCCGGAACTCTCTCCAGGTAAACTCCAGGTAAACAACAGTTCCATCACTGACGTTTCTTACAGTAACAACAGCACCATCACTGTTGACTTTACAGTAACAACAGTACCATCACTGTTGACTTTACAGTAACAACAGTACCATCACTGTTGACTTTACAGTAACAACAGTACCATCACTGTTGACTTTACAGTAACAACAATACCATCACTGTTGACTTTACAGTAACAACAGTACCATCACTGTTGACTTTACAGTAACAACAGTACCATCACTGTTGACTTTACAGTAACAACAGTACCATCACTGTTGACTTTACAGTAACAACAGTACCATCACTGTTGACTTTACAGTAACAACAGCACCATCACTGTTAACTTTACAGTAACAACAGTACCATCACTGTTGACTTTACAGTAACAACAGCACCATCACTGTTAACTTTACAGTAACAACAGTACCATCACTGTTGACTTTACAGTAACAACAGCACCATCACTGTTAACTTTACAGTAACAACAGTACCATCACTGTTGACTTTACAGTAACAACAGCACCATCACTGTTAACTTTACAGTAACAACAGTACCATCACTGTTGACTTTACAGTAACAACAGCACCATCACTGTTAACTTTACAGTAACAACAGCACCATCACTGTTAACTTTACAGCAACAACAGCACCATCACTGTTAACTTTACAGCAACAACAGCACCATCACTGTTAACTTTACAGTAACAACAGCACCATCACTGTTAACTTTACAGTAACAACAGCACCATCACTGTTAACTTTACAGCCAACAACAGCCACCATCACTGTTAACTTTACAGCAACAACAGCACCATCACTGTTAACTTTACCCGCAACAACAGCACCATCACTGTTAACTTTACAGCAACAACAGCACCATCACTGTTAACTTTACAGCAACAACAGCACCATCACTGTTAACTTTACAGCAACAACAGCACCATCACTGTTAACTTTACAGCAACAACAGCACCATCACTGTTAACTTTACAGTAACAACAGCACCATCACTGTTAACTTTACAGTAACAACAGTACCATCACTGTTAACTTTACAGCAACAACAGCACCATCACTGTTAACTTTACAGTAACAACAGCACCATCACTGTTAACTTTACAGCAACAACAGCACCATCACTGTTAACTTTACAGCAACAACAGCACCATCACTTACGATACGTTAACAAAAACTCTGTCACACTATCTAATTTCCCGGGAAAAAAAATTTGCCAGTTTCCTGTATTAACTATGATAAGCGGTGAGAGGCGGCACGACATGCGTGTTGTTTCTATAGAATGAACAGTGACAAATAATTTTTGTGACCGAGAAAAAAAAAACACATGCTGCAGAACGAGCTTTCCCCGGCACGACGTTTCACTCTATGCAGAGCTTTATAAGGTCAGGACTTTCTAGAGCTCTGGAATAAAAGCTCGCTGAAGCTCTACACAGAGATGCAGACTCACTAAAAGCTCATCCATCGTAATGTATTTCCTACATTTCTGTCCGCATTAAGTCCTTTGTGTCCACTTGTTTATTGTTATTTTTCAGGACACTATTCTCGGCCCCATCATCTACATACTTCAGCAGGATACCTTTAACCAAAATAAACTGAACGTTATGGATAAAATGAAGCCGCCGGAGACCTCGGTAAGCAAACACTCTCCTATCAATACCATTTTAGTATAATTTATTCTCTCGTTACACTGTATGATACTGAGAAAATTGACGCAGATCAGCGACAGACGCAAATAAACAGACTTAAGAATGAGGATAAAATTAATAATAATAATAATGACGCTAGCAATAATAATAATAATAATAATAATAATAATAATAATAATAATAATAATAATAATAATAATAATAACAATAATAAATTTAATTTTTTACCACCATGAAACAACTATGTAAAGGAATTTCTTATAGAGTAACGACAAGGACACAGGAGATACCAAATTCACATTTTTTGGTTACTCTCTGACCACACTTGATGTTAATGGTGATGGACTGGAGGACGTGGTTGCAGGCGCTCCTTTCTACTACGCCTCAACTAACTACGACCAAGGGGCTATTTTCGTGTATATGCAGAAAACATTCCACTTGCCAGGAGACGTTAGCCAGCAACTGGGATATCAGGTTGGTTGTTCTTGTGATGTGGTTGTTAGGTAAGACACATATGCAACAGTTAGGTATCTTTATTATGAAACGTTTCGCCTGCACAGTAGGCTTCTTCAGTCAAGTACAGAAAAGTTGATAGAAGCAGAAGATACTTGAAGACGATGTAATCACCCTTAAAGTTTTTGAGGTGGTCAGTCCCTCAGTCTGGAGAAGAGCATTGTTCCATAGTATGATATCATCGCTCTGTGTGATGTAGTATTTTCCTCTAGAGCAAAATGTATTCACGAAGATGTGCATGGACTAATTATCAATGAATCAAATAAATGACTAACTTTAGACAGTCTAGTACTTAGTTGAAAACACGATATAGTCATCCTCTGCTCGGAGGATCGAGCCTTCAAATCCTTTTGCGCTCACTAATCCATATGGTCAATGGTCACAGCGCTTCACTTATAATAAACTCAACTCAAAAAATAATCTGTTTACTTGTTTTGACACATATACAAAATATGCTTTGCTTATTTGCTAATAAAGTGTTGAAAATCAATTGCCTTAGTATACTATGAGATGACATCAAGTACATGACATCAAGAAAACGACATCTTGTAGATGACACATGATAGATGTCATCTATTTCTCGGCTTGCCGTCCCTTTCTACCTACCTTTTCACATTTTAATCAATATTCCAGCATTTTGTGATATATAACATTTCCATGGTTTGGTAGATGGAGGGAGAGAAGACTGCAGCTCCTAGGATGGGTAGTGGGCCTCATGGTCGCTTTGGAAGCTGCGTGGCCGCTCTGGGAGACATAGATAACGACGGCTACCATGGTACGCTCACACAAATGATGGTGTGCACGATGGTATTCAGAAGAACTGGTACCTCCCCTCCCCTGTCCCCTTCCTTACATTATACTGATTGAGATTTTCCAAGGCTATTTGTGATTTTTAAAAGTTTATTCCTTCCCCAAGAGAATATTACTACTCCCACTACTACTACTACTACTACTACTACTACTACTACTACTACTACTACTACTACTACTAATAATAATAATAATAATAATAATAATAATAATAATAATAATAATAATAATAATAATAATAATAACAATTATAATAATGGTCAATGGCGTGTGGCCAAGAATAGTGAAAAAAAAAAGGCTGCAAGACTTGCTTTCATTGGAACTACGTTACGTTGTATGTAGCGCTCTATCAAGTCATGATGAAGTCATCGAAGAGTGAACGCGGTTCCAATAAAAGCTCATCTGTGACGTGTGTCTCATTGTATTAAGACGTTCAGAAGATAATAATGGTTATGATATTAACGTACTTGCCAGACGTGGCCGTAGGAGCGCCGTTCCTGCCTGACGGTGGAGCTGTCTTCGTCTACATGGGCTCCAGCAACGGTCTTGAGAAGGAACATAAGCAGGCAAGACTTCGTTCCTAGTTTGACATTAGTATCCGTGGAATATAATGGCCAATATTTTGCATGTCCGAGAGTGGGTATCACAGTTTTAGAACACTTCATGATACTGAGCCTGTTGTTTTCATGAGGGAGGATGCTGTACATAAGAACATAAGAATGGAGGAACACTGCAGAAGGCCTACTGGCCCATGCAAGGCAGGCCCTTATCAAAACGACCTCTACCTAAAGCTACCCAAGAATTAACTCCCGTATCCAATGACACCAATCAAACCCAGCCCCTCCCACTCACATATTTGTCCAATCTCTTCTTAAAGCTACCAAGGTCCTGGCCTCTATCACCCAACTGGGAAGATTGTTCCACGCATCTACAACTCTATTAGAAAACCAGTACTTACCTATGTCCTTTCTAAATCTAAATTTATCTAACTTAAATCCATTATTTCTGGTTCTTACCTTGTTCGACACCCTCAGTACTTTATTAATATCTCCTTTGTTTATTCCCATCATCCACTTATACACTTCAATAATATCTCCCCTCATTCTACGTCTCTCCAGAGAGTGGAGATTTAAGGCTTCAAGTCTATCTTCATACGGGAGATTCCTTACATAGTAAATCATTGTAGTCATTCTTCTCTGTATGTTCTCTAATGAGTCTATATCCATCCTGTAGTAAGGAGACCAAAACTGAGCAGCATAATCTAAATGAGGCCTCACTAGTGATGCATAGAGCTGTAAAATAACTTTTGGACATCTGTTACTTATACTTCTTGAGATAAATCCAAGTAATTTGTTAGCCTTGTTGCGCACACTAAGGCACTGCTGTCTTGGCTTTAGATTTCTGCTTACCATGACACCCAAGTCTTTTTCACATTCTGTATGATCAAGCTCTACTTCACCTAGATTATAGCTTCGAGGGTTATTTTCATTACCAAGGGCAAGTACCTTACACTTATTCACATTGAACTTCATCTGCCATTTTGTAGACAAGGACATTAATTTGTCCAGATCCTCCTGAAGTTCATTGCTATCCTCCTCAGAATGAATTATACGGCCTATCTTCATATCATCAGCAAATTTACTGATGTCACTAGTAATCCCTTCATTAAGGCCATTAATGTAAATTATGAACAAGAGAGGGCCTAAACTGATCCTTGTGGAACGCCACTAGTGACTAATCCCCATTCAGATTTCACTCCATTAATGGTAACTCTCTGCTTTATATTGGTAAGCCATGCCTCAATCCATGCTAGAACTTTACCTCCTATACCATGAGCTGCCACTTTTCTTAAGAATCTCTTATGAGGTACTCTATCGAAGGCTTTACTAAAATCCAAATAAACAATATCATATTCTTTATCACTGTCAACTGCCTCAAATGTTCTATTGAAGAACGTCAGTAAGTTTGTCAGGCAGGAACGACCTCACGGGAATCCATGCTGAGATTCATTTATCAAGTTATGCTCTTCAAGGTGACTTCTAATAATGTCAGCTATAATTGATTCTAGTAACCTGCCCACTATAGATGTCAGGCTTATTGGACGGTAATTTGAAGGAGTGGACTTATCCCCTCATTTGAATATAGGAACCACATTAGCCATCTTCCACAACTCTGGCACAACACCGGTAAGGATGGACGCATTAAACACACTTGTTAATGGCTGACTAAGCTCCATCTTGTATTACTTAAGTAGTTGAATTACACACATGTGCTACTCTTGGGTATCTTTATTGAGGAAACGTTTCGCCACACAGTGGCTTCATCAGTCCATACAAAGGAGAAACTTGAAGAACAGGAGGAGAATGAGGTAATCAGTCGATGTGGTCAGTCCATCAATCTTGAATAGAATACGGTATATGAGCGGAGAAGCAGCTTATAAACCGTAGACAGGTGAGGGGGCAGCAGTCGTAGGTGGTGTCACATTTGTCCAATGTGGAAGTAGGTCGTGCCCAAGGGTTAGGCAAGTGAAGAATTCCCAAGTATTAAGTTCCCAAGAAGTTGCAGTGTCTGACAGGATTGTAGATGAATGGTTCCCAAAGAGTTGCACATGTGTCTAATTCAACAACATGTCGGTTCTCTGAACCATTCATCTACCATTCATTCCATTCATTCATCTGTCAGACACTGCAACTTCTTGGGATCTTAATACTTGGGAATTCTTCACTTGCCTAACCCTTGGGCACGACCTACTTCCACATTGGACAAATGTGACACCACCTACGACTGCTGCCCCTCACCTGTATACGGTTTATAAGCTGCTTTTCCGCTCATATACCGTATTCTATTCAAGATTGATGGACTGACCACATCGACTCAAGGCTGAGGGACTGATTACCTCATTCTCCTCCTGTTCTTCAAGTTTCTCCTTTGTATGGACTGATGAAGCCACTGTGTGGCGAAACGTTTCCTCAGTAAAGATACCCAAGAGTTGCACATGTGTCTAATTCAACAACATGTCGATTCTCTGAACCATTCATCTACAATTCCTTGAGTACCCTGGAAAACAACTCATCGGGTTCCGGGGACTTATTTTGCTTCAGTTTGTCTATCTGTTTAATAACCATGTCCCTCGTGACAGTAATATTAATTAATTTAAATTCGTCATGAACTAAATAATTGTTAATTACTGGAATCTCATTTACATCTTCCCGTGTAAAAACTGACAAAAAATAGTCATTAAATAAGGAACACATTTCCAGTTCGTTATCCGTCAGCTGTCCATTCCCAGTTTTCAGAGGTCCTACTTTTTCCTTCTCCTTCGTCCTATACACTTGAAAGAACACCTTTGAATTAGTCTTTGATTCATTAGCAACTCTAATTTCTTAGTCACGTTTAGCCTTTCTAATGCCCTTTTTTACTTCTCTTTTAAGCTGAACATACTGATCGTTAAGGTTAACCTCTCCTCTTCTGATGCGCCTATAAATTTCCCTTTTCTCCCCTAATAGATGCTTTAGCCTCCTGTTAATCCATTTGGAATCGTTATTATTAACCAAATTTTCTCTCTGGGAATGTAAAACTCTGACACGGTGTACATTACAAGAAAAAATCAAAAAAATGCAGATCCCTTCAAAATCATAAGTATAAACATCGTCAAAAAAAATTCATTAGCTAGAAAAACCCCAATCGAGATTTGACAGGTGTACCCAAAGGGTCCTTAAAAATCGGCAGAACAAAATCTGGGTTTTTTACCGTATTATAATTATTTTTGGGTTTTTTCCCATTAATGCTGAAAGTGATGGATTTGTGACCCATTTTGCGCCAAGCCTTCAATGATCTCCAGATTATTTACGAGTTTTTTCCCTTATTTGCAAGACTAGGTCTGGGCAAATTTTTAAACTCCCTGGTAGGCCTCTTTTTACACACTACTTCAAAACAGTCCTAAACTTTTTTCCCATAAAGTCACGGGAAAATTCAAAGTTTAAACCGGGTCAAAAAATTTCCCCAGTAAAATTTAAACTAAATTTTAAAAATCCCCTACATCAAAAATTTTATTGTGTCCAAAGCCCTAAAAAATTTTCGTCCCAAAAAAGTCCCCCCCTTTATCGGGGTCCAAGCCTGGGGTCGGTATTTTAACACCTAAAATTTAGTTTTTTTTGACCCTCTAAAAACTCTCCCCAAAAGAATTCTTTTAAACTTTTCCCAAATCTTTTTTTAAAACACCTGTTTTTAGAAAACATTTAAATTTATTTTTTCGAACATAAAATGCAACTCCCCCCCCCCTTTTCCCCCATCATATCAAATCCACATGGAAAGTTTAAAACCCCTTAAAATTTTAAAAACTCAGCAATCATATCCTGACTTTTTTTAATCATACCGGGTTTTCCCATTTTAATCCAATGATATCAAAGTTCCCAGCACATGCTAAAATGAAATTCATTAATTTTAAATTTTTTGGGCATTTCAAACTGTTAGCATAAAATCCCAAATCATATTTTTTTTTTCTTTTTGCACATTTTTCCTTTTCCCATCTTTTTTTTTACAAAATTTTCTGAAATTATCATTCCCCAAAGGGGTTACCCCAAAGACATTATAAAAATTTCTTAATATCAAGAAATAAGTCAATATATCCATACTCATTTTTATATTTCTAAACCCATACCTCAAACTAATCCTAGTTTAAAAAATCCTAACAACCCCCCCAACTAAATAGCAAGAAAACCCACACCTGGCCCCCGGGTAAGTGAACCCCAAACCCTGGCATACATGTCTTTCGGCCATAGAAGTAGGGATTTCACATAAACCCTTTTTCAGGGGACACTTGTCCTGTTTTTGGAAAAATGAACCGCCATCAATATCATTTAAAGAGGACTCTCGTGACGACATTTCGCTTCCCCCCCTCGATCACGAAAAGTCCCAGCATCGTAAATTGTGATCTGAAAAATGGGCCCGAACAGTCGAAAAAGCCGTTTATGAAACCCGACCCCCTCTCTTTTTGCCCCCTTTCTTGACGAATTCACAGTTTTTACCTGAACTCCCCAATCCGCTCCAAAATTTAAAAAAGCAAAAAACACATTGGGAAAATCCAAACCAAAACTACAGCACTTTCAACCAAAAGTCTTCTTCCCAAATTTCCCAGGTGTTTCAAGCATCGAGTGGGGGTCCCCACACATGCAGCGTCCCGAAATTTGGCCCTTTTTCCTTTTCCCCAGCGCTTACCAGGCGACTCCCCGGGCGGGTTTAAAGGGCGTCGCTGGGGTTTCTTACCAAACCTTTAGATGCTGTGCAAATCTTCAGGTTAAATTCACCTTAATTTCGATTTTGTTTCAGCTACACTCCGTCCGAAGTTACTCACTCCTGCCCTAGACATTTTTTGATGTGGATCTGTCCCCAGTACAGTCAGCTCGTGTAGCGTAATTTTTTTTTTTGTGCCTGTGAACGCGACTAAAAGAATTTCTTTCAATTTTAATTAGCTCTTTTGCTATAAAGGGCCCTTTAAAACTCGGTTTTTGAACTAATCGTTCCTGGAGTGTTTAAACGCGAAAAGTTCGATGTCCGAAACAACATTT